GTGTAATTTTTTCATGAAATAATATTGTTGGTCGCTATCGCGTGAATTTTTTATTGATACTCAAGTCTAAATGTAATGAAAACTTTCATTCGCTTATTTTCATATACATACGAGTGAAAATAAAGTGAAGTTGATATGAAATTAGTTAAAACAACACCTAATCATTTAAAATGGTAGCGGTTTGGATTACGGGTTCTCGATATTCAAATGAAGTAAAAACTTGATATTCAAATGAAGTAAAAACTTACATTATTTGTTTTATATGGATATGAGTGAACATAAAGTGAAATGAATATAAAAATAGTTGAAACGACACCTAACCTTTTCATTGATATCATGCCGTTTTGGGTCATAGGCCTTGATTTCACTCTAAAACGAGTCGATAAGACTTGGAACATTTTAGACTACTTATACAAGTTAAACGAGCCAACTTGTTGAATATCTTATCTAATAATTAGAATTTAATGGAATTCACTTACTTTTGTTCGTCGTTAAATCTAATGCAGTTTACTCATGGAACAATAGTTTTGGTCATTATCGTGTGAACTTTATGCTGATACTCGGGACAAATATAATGACTGCCTGCAAGTGAAAATAAAATGAAATGGATACAAAATTAGTAGAAACGGGCCCCAATAATTTAAAACGGCATCATGACATTTGGATTATAGGGTCTCGATTTCACTCTACAACGAGTCAATCATGTCATGTAACATCATATAAGACTTATACAATTTAAACGAGTTAATTTCTTATCTCATAATTGGAATTTGAATTATTTAGCTTTTTAAAGATATCATGTTGTTTTGGATGACGGGGCCTTGATTTCACTACAAAATGAGTTGATCAGACTTGGAACATTTTAAAAGACTTGTACAAGTTAGACAAGACAATTTATTGAATATCTTATCTCATAATTAGAATATAATGGGAACTTACTTACTTTTGTTCTTAGTTATGTCTAATTCAATTTATTCACGAAAAAATAGTATTGATCATTATCTTGTGAACTTTATATCATAATTCGGGTCCAAATGTAATGAAAATTTCCACTCATTCATTGTCATGCATACGAGTGAAAATAGAGTGAGGTAGATATGAAATTAATTGAAATGACACCCAATCATATAAAAAGACAGCATGACATTTTGGATTATAAGGTCTTGATTTCACTATAAATTAGTGAAAATTGTTTATGTTAGTTAAAACATTATTAAATTGTTTATAATGACAACATGTCGTTTTGGATCACAGACAAGCACTAAAATATAGTTAAAACTTGTTTTAATTAATTTTTATGTGGATGCAAAGAAATATAAAATGAAGCAAATATGAAATTAGTTAAAATGACATTCAATCATTTAAAAGGCAGTATGCTATTTGCGGAATTTGGTAAATTTTTATTTCAGATTGGATATTTTAGATATTTCAAATGAAGGGTGTTTAAGACTTTTAACACATGATAAAATAGACTAAAGGCCTGTTAACCAAAAAGTATTGACCATAGCCTATTTTACCAACCATCATTGTTGACTAGGCTTTTTAAGCAAATTCCCCTTGTACTTTTTGTCTATTTTTTCTTTACAATTTTAGGGAATGTTTTCTAAATATTCAACTTTTTTGACAAATATGTTTCCCAGTCTAAAGTAAAGGTTTATTGAGATTTTTAAAGGAATAGGGATATTGTTCGACAGTTCGAGAGAATTGATCAAAAGAATAAAAAAATATGGACATTATTTATCAAATGTAAGATGATGAACAATGTAAATTCACAAGCTTTTTTTTATGAAAAATATAAAAATCCTTAAAATAATAAAAGGAAATTATTTTGTCAAATGGTGAGGTCATGTGCTTTGGGGTTTTACTTGATCATCAAATGATCACATAATAAGCATCATTTTTTCTTTAAATTCCTTATTTTTCTTTTAACAAAAATTCAATATTATCGAGCAAGATCTCCTAAAATAGTGTCTACACAAAAACTTGAGATGACACCTAATGAAATTGAATTTTCAGAAATCTTAAATGAGTAGATGTACTTACAACAATTTAATTCAAGAATATAAATGCGTAAATTGTTAGCTAAGACAAGTTAGGAAGACAAATATTTTTAACTAAACTGATACATAAAAAAATAATATTGAATAATTTTTTCCCTTAAAAATTTAATGGACTTGTGGGGCAGGCCTGTGCCTCCCCTTCCTATGAGAGCATGCAAATTTTAATGTTTTCAAATATTAAAACATTCAGAGTCAAGTGTTTCTGTTATAAAATCGATGATAGCTCTAAAACCACTTGTTGAAAAAATAATGATAGCTTTGATACCATTTGTTAGAAATTGAGCCAATTGTTATGAATATTAAAGATGAGATAATGAGAAGATAAAAATAATAATCACATGAACACAAGATTTACATGTTAACCCAAGACAGGAAAAACCATGGGCAAAGGTGGAGAATCAGAATATGTCAGACTGGATCTCACAATACTTTGTCTTTTATATCTCTATCTGTGAGTTCTCCATTAATTTGGATCTACTTGGATGACTATCTAAGTTGATCAAATAAATGTGTAGGACATTACATATTTATAATGCAAGAATCCCTAACGTACTAGGAGAATTAAATACGTGAAGAGTTTGATGTATGGTGAAGTCCTAGTACAACGGGTTAAACCATTAATGAAATATGAGTTAAAAATGCTAAAAACGAGAGAACGAAAGGAAATATTGGTGCAAAGAAGATTATCGATATGTTAGGATACTTGTAGTGTACATAGGAATCAAATAGGGAGAATTACTTTCAACAGAAGATAGAGAATTAAATGGTTATGTATGTCACTTAATGAGCATTACCAGGAGCGACCAAAGTTCACTATTATGCATCAACTTACGAACAGGTCACGTGCAGCTAGCTAAGCAAGAAGCAAAGTAAGAGATCAGGCAATATCTTCACTTTGCTTCGACATCACATCTTCCCCCATGTGCCCATTGAAAAAATTAAGATATACTTGTAGAAGGTTTACCAAGAATGCTATTATCCAAAGTGAGGGAGGCAAGGCATCAGCTCTCTGATGCAGTATAATTTTGAGGCGAATGACATTGCCTATGATGGGACTCTTCCATATGCCTCGTCTGGACTATATCATAGCTAGACTGTATACCTAATCAATTAATTTATGTGATAGCTCTACATATTGATGTTTGATCAAATAACTCTTCAACTTGTGCACAAATTGGGGTGGTCTGATGTCTATGACGGCAAGGGGTTCACACAACAAAGCTAATGATTGATATAATTAAACTTGATCAGTGAGCCGCTAGGACAAGGCCACGTGTTAAGCATCCAACTAACCTCTGTTCATCTATCTTGGCTATAGATACTTACTCAATGACATTCAAATGTAATTGAAATTTAGAATTGGATATTCATAATTCTCTTGTAAATTTGTGACATGTTTTTTTTTCATTGTATCTCTCCCATACCCAACCATCATTTTCACATTTTTTTGACTTGAGCATTATAGTATTAGCGACTATTACACCCCTCACCAAAGCTATGATAATGTGCAATCTAATGTCAATGTCCAAGTGTACAAGTAACATATATGAAAATCGAAGAGAAACTATGATCCGTTGACTGCTGGAGCCCGTCGAATTTAGAGGTCAACATTCATTATATTTAAAAATGATAAATATATTTACACCACAATTTTTGTTAACTATATCATATTTTAATTACAATGAATGTCTTTAACTTTCGCTCATTTTTTCACATATTTCCAACTCTTCTTTTTTTTTTTTCTTTTTTTTTTTTCAATCTCAACCTTATTTAATTCAACCATGCTACCTGTACACTCTCCTTTACATCTTAGTTGATACTCTTCCACATGGATCCATCAAAGCCATTGATTTTGAACCCATCTATCAAATCACTATACAGATTTCTTTCACAAAAGGGAGAATGTCAACAAAGTTGTAAAGCACAATGTACATCTAGAATAATTCTATTTAATTAGCACATCTTGTTCTAATTGACTATTAGAAAATCCATTATAGTGGGAGTAAGAAGACTTGTTTTCGTATTTTCAAATAAAAAAGATAAACATTAAATACATAAATTCACAAAGTATTTTCTCCATGTTAACATAATATTTGGACAAAAATCATTATCAAATGCAAGATATGTTAATGACTAAAAGTTAAAGATAAAAGTGATACGAAAATAACTTGGAGATATAAGTACAAATATGAACAAAATTGAAGGACATTAATTTCAATAAAAATGTGGTGCAAAAACAATGATGTGAATATAATTAATCATTTAGAGATAGGTGCAACAAACCTTTTTTTTTTCAGGTGGCAATATAGTCACCACATTAAATAACGATTCAAGTTTTTGTAATAAGACAGTTTTTACTTTATCTTTAATTAAGAAAAACACATAAATTGAAAACAAAACAAAAAAGGAATATGCTACTTGGGTCCAGTTAGTGGGAACTTGTTTCCTTTGGAAGAAGACTTTCTAGGCGAGGACATGCCCCTCCATATTTTCCAGTCATCTTTCAACCCAGGGTTTTGAGGAAAGGAGACTCTGAGGGTTGGTACCCCCGGTGTCCAAAGGGATCACATTTCCCTTTCATCACATGGCTTCTCTCCTCCATCAAAGGGTGAAAGGAGACGTAGTTCTGGGTAAGGAGTAAGTTGTGAGTGTATGAGGGTGACACCTTTTCCCATTTGACAGTTCCTACCTCGTACTCAGAAGCTGATGAGTTGCATTTTTTGTTATGGATTTTAATTTGTGGTTAACTGATTTATATCTAATTTTGACCCTCTTCCATATTGTTCAGGGTAGGTTGGTCACTTTGAGCTATCCAAAGCAAAGCTAGCATAGTAGAGGACATCTACTTTTTCCACCTTTCTGCGAGAGAGTACGATCGCTTGCTCAACTCCAAGTGATTATTTGAAAACATTTGCTTAATAGCTCGGAGAGGTAGATTTGCTCATTAGTTGAGATTTTCTTGTTGGTTTACATACTTTCTGACTTCTATATATACTTTTCAGAAAACTTTGAGAAGAGGAGGCACTCTATCCTCGATATGGCTACTATCCTAGCAGCTACCTTCACTGCTGGGAAGAAGGGGTTGAAGCCCTTATTTGTTGCTGCCAAATAGGTGAGAGACGAAGTAGAGAGGATCAGCAGAAAGGCTGCTGGTCGTGAAGGAGATTAGCGGTCTTCCATTAAGGATAAGGGAAAAGATAAAGTTGAGGAGGTCCCCAAGAAAAAAACAAAGGTTTTTCGTCACTAGAGAGGGTGCGTCAACGACTACCAATCCACTGTCCCATTTCAAAGTCCCAGCTAAGGAGAAGATGATGATAGTCTCTATTGCTACTGATAAGTGTATTTTATACACTTATTCGGGGCTCTAAATTAACGATATTTGATAGTCTTTTAGCAAAATATATTCTAAATTGTTGTGTCTTACGTTTAATAGGTGAATTTTCATGGATTAAAAGGAAGTGAAGGAAAGAAGAGAAAATTGGGCGAAAATGGCAATATTTGAAGTACGTGGATTAAAGTGGCCATTGAAAGAAAATTGGAGAGCAATTGGAAGCCTTTTGAAAGTCAAACATTGTGGGCTATGTTACCACTAATATAAATACATTTATATCCCGTTTACAGAAAGAGGAGAAAAAAAGAAGAGGGGAGAAAAAGAAAAACCTAAAGGAAAAAAAAAAAAAAAAAGCGGCAGAGGGAATTGAAGGTGGATGGCAGCAAGGAAAAGTCAGAGAACAAGGAATTTTGGCCACTTTGGAGTCTAATTATGCCAAATAAAAACAAAGGTTCTTATGAATTTTGGCCACTTTGGAGTCTAATTATGCCAAATAAAAACAAAGGTTCTTACTGCTTTAGTTATATATACACACACATGACAATTACTGGGGGAAGTGGAGTTCTTTTGTGAAACAAAGAGTCCAGCTGCTGCAGAAAAGTGGAGAGAAGAAAAAAAATCTGGTTTTGAGAAATAAAATTGCTGGCTGAATTTCATTGAAGGAAGGCTGGAGGCTATTGGTGAATTATATAATTATATATACACGGCAGAGGTGCTGGGGGAAATTGGAAGGAAACAAAACCGGCTGCTTGTAGTAAGAAATTGAGCAACATTGGGCATTGTTTTGGCAGTCAAATATTGTGGCTGGAATTAATATATACATCAATTAGAGAAGCCGAATTAGAGCAGAAAACGTGGAAGCTGGCTGCTTGGGATGAATTGATTAGTTTATGCATTAAATTGGTGGCTGCAAGTGTGACAAAACATTTGCTTTGTATTGGAGCCAACTGTGTGGATGTTATAAACATAAAAGGAAGGCCAACTTCGAGATTTACTCGCTAACTGGGAGTTGACACATACACGTGCAAAGGCTGGGAATAATTTTGGAATTTAATCACCTCCCGTCGATTTTCGGTGACTTCCTTCCACTTTTATGTATTTAATTCCAACAGTATGCTAGGCTAATTTTTCTCATGTATTGGATGGATGACAAAATTGTTTAATTCTTAATTTTAATTCGAGACATGTGTTTATTTTAATTATTGTGTTGTGATTTCATTAGTATACATAATTAGATTGTTTTAATGTTTGCGCACCATTAGGACAATAAGTTACTTATTCGTTGTGTTGAAAAACTCACGATAAGTATAATACTATTATTGGGACATACGGGCAATAAATATTAGGAATAATATTTGTGGCATGTGCGATCTTATGTGATAATCCTAAATATCAATGCATGTTTGCTATATGAAGTCGGACTAGGAATATGATCGTCTCGTGGTAATTATATGTTTATTATATCTTGGAAAAGAATAATAAATAATAGTGAAATTATCGATCGTCGCAACTACATAAATTGAAATAATTATTATTGGTTGAGAATTAGAACTAAGAATTGATCAGTGGCGTTGGAAATCCAGTACCTTCGCACATTTGATTTTTAAACCAATTTGTCATTGATTTAATAAGTTTTAGTTATAAAAATTAGTTAGCTATTCATTCGATCATCTTTCAGTTACAAATTCGAATTTAAATATATCGAATATACTGAAATTGATCCTTATTCCCTCTGGGCCACGATTATTACTTGTACAACGAACCCATACGCTTGCGAGAATCTGACAAACAAGTTTTTTGGCACCGTTGCCGGGAATTACGGTGTTAATTTTAGTTATTAGATATTTTAGATTCGTTTTTATTTTTTTTATTTATCATTTTTATTTTCATTTAATTTTTAGTTTTTAGGCTACCATTACAGTTTTTAGGCAACTTTCGTTTATGAAAAATCCTAACGAGCCAGATCTCTTTCCGATAGACCACCAAATCGAAAGAACATTTAGAAATCGCAGAAGAGTTCAACTTCAAGCAAGGAGAATGACTGACAACCAAAATCAATCACAGCATCAGGTTCAACTTCACGAGCAAATACCACAGCTAAATCAACCGAGAGCTAACTAGAACGAAGCTCCTGTCTTAGTTGGAGATTACATCAATCCAATTCCCGCACCAGTGCAACCTGCTGTGGTATACCCCCTATTAGACAACCTAATTTCCACCTTCGACCAGATGTCATCAATTTGTTTCAAAATCACCAAGACATCAGGTTCTTTGGAAAAGCCACGGAAAACCCTCATGAGCATATTTCTACTTTTCTCATGTTATATGAAGTGATCAGCCACGAAGGGATATCAACAGATGCATTTCGAATGAGATTATTCCCTCATACCTTGAAAGACGCTGCTAGAGAATGGTTTCTCTGTTTACCACCAGGGAGCATTCAATCTTGGAACAATATGATTCAAAAATTCACGATGAAATTCTTTCCACCTTCTCGAGTTCACCAAATTAGGAATGACGTCCACACCTTTAAGAAAAAAGATCTCTAGAGCTATCCTGAGGCATGGGAGAGGTTCAAGAATCTTTGCAGAAAATGCCCCAACATCGACATTCCCAAGCAGGCTCAGCAATATCTTTTCTACTACGATCTAAAACAAGAGTTTAGAAATATGATAGATGCTTCGGCAGGAGGTTCAGTGATGAAACTTGATGTGGATGAGGCATATGACCTGTATGAAAAAATAGCTGAAAACCAATCAATGTGGCCAACTGATAGGGAAGCTCCACGGAAAACATCAGGGTTACACAACGTAGATGTGGTGACAGCACTGGCCGCGCAAATAGAAGTTCTTACCATGAAAATGGACAATCTATCTAAGTCAGTCAACATGGTACACCAATCGCCACCTGTTTGCGAAGGCTGTGGAGCGGATCATGCTAGTACACGCTACCCTTTGGCATCTACACATGTTAATCAATCCGAAGAAGTAAGCTACGCACAGAACTTTCAGAGACGGCAAAATAATCTTTTCTCCAACATATTTAATCCGGGTTGGAAGAACCATCCAAATTTTTCATGGTCCAATAATCAAGGACAAGAACAGGGAGGAAGCAATCAGAATAAACCACCAGGGTTCCAACAGCAACAACAGCAAGGGAGAAGGCCATCGTTGGAAGATTTTCTGGCTTAATACATTACTAGAACTGAGACCAACTTTCAAAACCAACAAGCCTCGATCAATAATTTGGAACAACAGGTTGGACAAATTGCAGCCGCACTATCAGGTAGAGCTCAAGGGACATTGCCTAGTAATACTGAAACAAATCCTAAGGAGCAGATCAAAGCAATCACTACATGTAGTGGCATCCAGTTACCAGAAATACATGTAAAGAGGCCAGCAACTGTTATAGAAAAGGCACCTATCATGGGCGAGGAGCAAGTAGATGAATCAGACAAAGCCTCAGAGGAAAATCAAGTTGAATCATCAGATAGTCCACAGGTGAAGGCAACTGCTCCTGTCAAAGCATATGTTCCTCCTATCCCATTTCCACAGAGATTGCAAAAACATAAGCTCGACAAGCAATTCCAGAAATTTTTGGATGTGTTTAAGAAGCTGCATATTAACATACCATTTGCTGAAGCTTTAGCCCAAATGCCCAACTATGCCAAGTTCATGAAGGATATTCTATCAAATAAGAGGAAGCTGGAAGACAATGAAATAGTCATGATTACTGAGGAGTGTAGCGCAATTCTCCAGTACAAATTACCACCGAAACTAAAAGACCCAAGGAGTTTTACTATTCCTTGTCACATTGGTAATTTGTATATAGATAAGGTTGGCAAGTTTATCTTCCCAGCAGACTTCATTATTCTGGATATGGAAGAAGATAGAGACGTCCCCCTCATATTGGGTCGTCCATTTTTGGCCATGAGAAGAGTTCTGATAGATGTGCAAAAGGGTCAGTTGATATTGAGGTTAAATGAAGAAGAACTGATAATCAATGTGTTTCGGGCTTTCAGATTTTAGAGCGAACCGAATTCTTGTATGCAGATTGATATAATAAAAGAAGCGGTGTCAGAGACATTCAAACTAGATCACCCTCAGGATCTACTTGAGGCTTGTTTAGTGCATTCGCAAAATTTACCATCAGGATTCTTCCAAGAGAATGAGGACGTCAAGTAGGTCTACTATGTCTAATGCAGGTCCCGTCCTAAGCTCTCCATTTCTCAACGGAATGATGAGTTGGCTCCGAAGGTTCTCTTAATACTCCTTCCAAAGATCTAAACTGCGATGACTACCTTTTACAAATTCTGGACAAACCGTTAGCTATCTTTTGTGGAGTCTAGAAATGCGGTGGAAATCGTCGCTGCCATGGAGTCTCCAAGCGAGTAGGGAATTTACCTTTGTCGTAGAGGCGAAGGCCCTCTTTAAAAACCTTCAAAGTGAAAAAAAAGACTAGGCTAGTAGGGCTACTCGGGTCGAGGAGGCAGCAAAGAACGCGACGGCTGATGTGGAGGCTTCGGAGAAGCTACAAATTAAAGGTCTGTGAAGTTCGCTTTTACCTTGGCAAAAATTGAGAATTTGAAAAAAGAGGTTCAATTGTCTCAGAGTGAGGCAGCCTCCATGATGAAGAAGGTAGAGACTTTTGATGCCACCAAATGTTGGTTGCTTAGACCCTGGAGAAGGCTAATAAAGAAAATGCTGCATTGAAGCATAAGATGGGGGAGTTGAGATTAAGGGCTTTTGGCTTGACATAAAAGGTGGAGATGGTGAAGATGGAAGCTCAATCTCCTGGTAGTGAAGATAAAAAGCATTACATTGCCGACTTCCATCTAACAAAGACGTATCAAAGATTTACTAAATACTGGCGAAGATATGCCTACACTAAGGTTACGGAGTGGATTGAGGTAAACTACCAAACTTTGATACCTATGAGTTGATGTCCAAATTCTTGGAAGAGGGGAGTGAAGAGCTTCAGACTCCTACTGAGTTTATCCACGTGATCGAAATTAAAGGTGAGGCTGTCAAAGAGGAAGAGGCTTAGAAGCCATGGCTCTCAATGCTATAGTGTCCTTCATTTCTCTCATTTTCCCTCTTACTTAGCATATAGGACTTTTGTAATAATTTTCTGTTCCATTTTGTAAATGGCTTTGAAGCCCTCAATTATAAAAGTTCTCATAATGAATGAAAAAGATTTTTATGACTTACTATCTTTACTGCACTTTTTACTTCATTTCTTTGTAGCATTTTATTTCGTTATTTGAGACTTATTTATACTCGCTATTTGTACAAGTGTTGGTAGTTCGTGCCTTTTATTAATTTTCCTGAGTATGCGGTTTGTCCAGGTTGAGGCCTTAAGACCTTTTGTTGCTAAGGGGATGTCCTGTCTACTTCGCGATTTTGGAGGTCTACCTCGTCATTGAAGTACCCATACTTTACTACATTTAGACAATTCGTCTATGCAGAGGCTTTTCCTTTAACTTCAGTTAATGTGAGGTTATTTTTCTTCACAACAAAGATTTTTAAGAAGATAAACTTTTATTTAGTTGAAACAAATAATTCGTGGAATTCATTTACATTTATCAGTAGTACTTTCGTAGACATTTTGCTTTCTATGAATGAGGCAGTGTCTTCCATCCATGTTTTTGATTTATAAGTCTCTTGTCGAGCTTCTTCCTTGATACTATAAAGACCTTCCCAATTAGGGCCAAGGGCTCTCACTCTGGTTCTTGAGAAGTAGAAACACATTCTGTAGCACATGGTTATGTAAACAAAATGACCTCTTCTTAACTTTGGAATTTTAGAATCTAGTCGTCTTTCGTTGGTATAGCCCATTTTGCTTAGGAATCATTCCTCATTTCTTCAAGGAAATCGAATTAACATCTTTTCAACTCATCATTGGATATTTTGTTAAAATGTATGCGATGCGGAGATGGCAGACCCCCCATCTCAACTGGTCTCATAGTCTCGGCTTCGTGAGTCATAGAAAAATGAGTTCCTCTTATAGCTGTCCTGCTAGTAGTCCGGAAAGCCCATTAGATCTGAGGTAGTTCATCAACCTAAACTCCTTTTGATGCATCTAACTCTCTTTTGAGCTTGTATTCGATAGTCTTATTTACACCTTTTACTTGTCCATTAGCATGAGGATGATGTGGTGAAGATCAGTACTTTTTGATTCCTAACTCTTCGCATAAGTTTCTGACTTTCTTATTATCAAAATGTCATCCATTATCTGAGACAATTGAATGGGAAATTTCAAACCTGGATATAATATTTTTCCATAAAAACTTTGAAACATTAGCTTCAATAATTTTGGCTTGGGGTTCGGCTTAAACTCATTTTGTGAAATAATCAATAGTTACAATTACAAAGCTGGCACTACCAATTCATTTAGCTCTTAAGAATGTTGCCTCTGAATTGTTGCAAATCGTTTACATTTGTGGCACTTCCTTGCAAATTGTTGTGCATCCTTTTCAGTATGGGCCAATAATATCCCTAATTTAACACTTTTTATGCTAGAGACCATCCTTCTATTTGGTTGCTACATACCCACTCATGAATCTTTTGAAGTACATAAGTGGCTTTCTCACCACCAATAAATCGGAGTAAGGGCAAGGAAAAACCTCACTTGTATAGCTTGTCGTCTTGGAAAGCGAAGTAAGTGACTCATATTTTGAGCCTCCATGCTTCTTCGTTATTAGATGGCAAGGCCTAGTCTTTGAGGTATGCTATAATTGGCTTCATCCATTGGTCACAAAATCTGTCAAGTCCTATCTTTTAACAACAATCCTTGTTTTGAAGACGATGTCAAATTCACTAAACTCCATGGCCCACTTCAGTAATGTTCCTAAAGCATCAGGCTTCTACAGCACCTGCTTGAGTGGGAAGTTACTTATCACATGTATGGCACGTGCTTAGAAATATGGCATTAATTTTTGAGAAGCAGTTACGAGAAAGAGGGCTAACTTCTCCATATCTGGATAGCGGGTTTCTGCTACAAAGAGTGCTTTACTCACATAATACCGAGGCAATTGGTGACTTTCTTATTCCCTTAGAAATACTGAACTGATAGACTCGGTGATTAGTGCCAAGTATAGCTGTAGAGGTTTTTGAACTTTGGGTTTTGATAGGAGGAAAGTCTGTCCCAAGTGCTTCTTTAGCACTTGTAAGCCTATTCCACATTCCTTCGTCCATTGGAATCTGTTTCTTCCTTTCAAAACTTTGAGGAAGGAAAGACATTTGTCCGCTAACTTTGAGATGTGTTCACGAAAATATTATTTCGATTTAAACTCCGTAAGTGTATGGTTTGTAAGAAGTAATAAAGTGGAATGAAGAGTTCTGAATATCATCCTACAGATATTGAGTTAGCTTAATTTTACCTATCTCGACTTTAACTGAAACCAAATTGTCAAATGTGATATTTATAACTTGACTACACCTAAACTAGATTATGTATGCAAATGTGAATGAATTAAGTGAAACTATAGTGCAAGTGATGTATGAGTGCAAGTTGATAAATTTAATGAATAAATGGTGCATTAAGATTGCGAATCCCAATGCAATGATCTCTTTTAAGCCTAGTTCTATAAATTGACCACAAGTCTAAGTTTTAAAGAATCAATGTTCCTATTTTATCCAATAGTCTCTCTCGTGTAATGTTGAACCTACTCTTATATACGACCCGACTATATCTCTATGACGGATGCAAATATACAAGAATGTAGGATATTTTTGAACACTTAGAGATTCATGCAGGGCATAACGATATATCCCTATCCTCTATCCGACCTTACGATGGTTTATACCCCATTAAGCCTATTTTCCTTCTTTTGAATGCATAAAATAAGCCACCAAACTCACACAATCACATGCACATATTTATGGATGAAAATAATCGCATATAAACCATTCAAATCCATATAATGTGTTTTAATGCCAATAGAGTAAAACTAGAAATCAAAAGATTACATTACATAGTTCATCGTTCTCCTAGTACAGAATCATCTAGCCTAGCATAGGAAAAGTAGTAAAGCACAAAGAAATTTTAAGAAACAACATCATCGATTTAATATTTTACTTGAATCTTCGTGTAATCCTGTCGATCTTCGTGTTTGTCCTTGTGTTTGTGGCTTAAAATCTCCTTCAAAGTGCATTCTCTATGTTCTCAATATGTCCCCCTTCCCCCCGGTATTTTAACGGCCTTAGGGTTTTCATATAAGTCAAGTGACTTGTTTCCATAAGAATTTCACTCGAAGAAGGAAACTAGAATTCCAGCGTCGAATTTGTGCCATGCAATCTCATAGTTATGTATAGCTTCCTTGGCTCTTTTTTGATTGCCACCATGCGACCTCATGGTATAATTTTTCTTCCAAAAGTGGCGTTTGGTCCCCCCGAACTTTAAATTCTTGCTTTTTGACCACTTTTCTCCTTTTTCTTCTCCCAACACTTCAAGTCTTCAACAAATTGGTCATTGATCCTTAAACATCTTCGTTTATGCACTCGGTTCATCTTTTGGCTATTTATACTATGATCCCTAAACTATAGTTTTCCTCCATTTCGGTCCTTTTTCGTTTCTTTCTCTTGAATTCCGCTACATTCATTAACATTATCCTACAAAATAAAGTTGTATAGAATTAAGCCATATTCAAACACTATTATCGACAATTTGTCATGTTTTGTGGCAAAATAAGTGTGTAAAAATGCACTTATCAAGACGAAATGACTTAAAACTATTATACATCTCGTTAGGCTTTGTACTTCCTTGGGTTTCTGGAATGACCTCATTTCGATCAACACTTTGATCTTTTTTGGGTTGGCCTCAATTCCTTTTTGAATCCAAAGGCACATTTGAGAGGGTTCGACCTCATTCTATACCTTGGAAGTATGTAGAAAGCTTTGGGGATGGTCTGTTCTTTGAAAACAACCTCTTTTTTAGAAAACATCTATCATTTCGACGTCGTCCTCTTGTTCAGGGTTTTACCTTTACCCTAGGTGATCACTTTCGTCAATGTCCATTAAGATGACAC